ACAGCTGGAGGCCGTTCCCTCTCCTCCTGTCCCTGTTCCCTGGGAGCAGAGCCCGACCCCCCCCAGCTCCCCCCTCCTGTCAGGGATTGCAGAGCCAGAAGGTCCCCCCTGAGCCTCCTTTTCTCCAGGTTGAGCCCCCCCAGCTCCCTCAGCCCCTCCTGCTGCTCCAGCCCCTTCCCATCTCCATTCCCTTCCCTGCACACGCTCCAGCCCCTCCATGTTCTTGTCTGAGGAGCCCAGACCCAAACACAGGACACGAGGGGCCTCAGCAGTGCCAGCACAGGGACAGGCACTGCCCTGGGGCTGTGACACGCCATTTCTGATACAAACCAGGGCCACTGGCCTTCCTGCTCACCTGGGCACACCTGGGCTCGTGTCCAGGCACTGCTCTGGTCTCGCCTAGAGCTTTCTGTGTCTTTCCAGGTGCAGAGGCTGCCCAGCCCAGCCTTGTCTCCCTGAGGACACCACACACTAATGGCAGGACAAGGGTCTTCTTCCCCCTGTCCATTCCTTGTTCTCTAAAGTTTTGGGAAAGCCAACACCCCTCCCCTTGGAGCTCCAAGTGTTGAGCACCCCAGTACAGGAGTGGAGGAATCACAGAGCTGCTGAGGGGGACAATGTGACACAGAACGCCTGGGAATGACAGAGCCCACCCTGGAAAGAGCCCCTCATCAACAAACCCAATGCCCTGTAAGAGCAGGACACCCAAACTTGAGGTGAAAGTAGGAAGAATTAGTGAAGAGATGCCTGGTTAGTGCTGGCAGCACAGGAATTGTGTTGGTAAGATCATTTCAGAAAATTCCAAGGCACGGCAGCAGCTGCTCTCAGAGTGCCTGGAGATCCCATGTGGACATGGTCCCATGCTGGAGGTGGGAACACCTCTGTTATGCATCTTTTCCCTGGGGCCAACCTGGAATGGGCTCACACCAAGTCCACCAGAGTGTGACAGAGTCAGGACTGTCCCCAGCACCAGGACATGGACCTGGACTGTGGGACGGAGGTCCCTGGGCCAGAGCAAACAGAAAATTCCACTACTAAGGCCCAGGAGGGGGAAAAGCCTCTTCCTCCTGGGTCCAGCAGCTATCAGGTCACCCCAGAATAGGAACCTACAGCACAGCCTGAGCTCAGAAACACCCCTGATTTCAAAGCCCCTGGAATCCAGAGCCACTCACAGGTGGCAACTCCCCTGGGTGCAGTGGGCACATGAGGCTCCAGGCAGGAAGTGTTCAAGTGACTTGGTTACACTCCCAAATGGACACTGTGTCCGAGCCTGAACTGCCCTTGCAACACCCACTGGGGACAGGCACGTGGGACTAACCCGATGGACAGACCCCAGAGGGTCTGGTGGCAAGGGGAGCTGCCACAGGCCAAGCTGCCCTTCCCCCCTGGATTGCTCTGCCCCACCTGGAAAACATCCCCACCCGGACACCCTCTGCCCTCCCTCCACACAGGGCGGATCAAAGGAGGAGTGAGTGAACTCCAGGCACAGCCAGGGATACAATCCCACACCCCTCCCCGTGGTATTTCAGTGCCCGATGGTTATTGCAAACCCAGCCTGACCAGCGCCCCTCGACACAGCTGCTCTCCCGTTTATTTCAAACAGACTGCTCTGCGCTGGGCTCGGCGGGGACGGGGTGTGACACGGTGCGGGGTGAGGGGGGCAGGCCCAGCACAGCCGGTCCCGGCGCGGGGTCCCTGCCAGCACGGGGCACGTCCATCGGGACAGGGACGGGCTTTGCTCGCGCTGCGCGGGGAACGCTCGGCACAGGGCGCTGCTGGATCGCCGCAGGGCCCCCTCTGTGCCCGGCATTCACCCGCACGGACAGCAGGCACCTGCCCCTCCTCGGACTGTGCTGAACGGGACATCCTGGGAACGCCGGGCTGTCCGGGTCCCGCCGGCACCGCCTCTGGCCCGGGGGAGCAGCTGCGGGGCCGGGTCCGCGGGGTCAGATACTGTCCAGCTTCTTCAGGATGAACGGCGCTGCGGAGGGAAACAGACGGGACACGGCCCGGATCAGGAGGGGGTGCGGGGACACCCTGGACCGGGACACCCCGGGGGCATGGGGACATGCCGGACCGGGACACACCGGGGGCATGGGGACAATCCCGGACCGGGACACACCGGGGGCAGGGGGACATCCCGGACCGGGACACCCCGGGGCGCGGGGACATCCTGGACCGGGACACCTCGGGGGCATGGGGACATCCTGGACCGGGACACCCCGGGGCAGGGGGACATCCCGGACCGGGACACTCCGGGAGCATGGGGTCATGCCGGACCGGGACACCTCGGAGGGGGCGCGGGGACATCCCGGACCGGGACACACCGGGGGCATGGGGACATCCCGGACCGGGACACCCCGGGGCGCGGGGACAGCCCGGAGGGGGCGCGGGGACACGGCGGTCCCGTCCCGCTCACTCACTGATCCGCAGCAGCGCGACGTAGATGAGGAAGTTGCGGACAGAGGCGAGCACGTCGCGGCGCATCTTCCGCCGCAGCTCCTCGGGGTCCATCTTGGGCCCGAGCCCCTCGATGCGGAACATCCCGGCCCCGATCCCGGCCCCGATCCCGATCCCGATCCCGATCCCGATCCCGATCCCGATCCCGGCCCGGCCGCGGAAACGCGTGAGCAGCGCCGGCCGCGCGCAGGGACAGCAGTGACGTCACTTCCGCCCCACGTGGAGCCGCCCGGGGCGTGCCCAGCCTGGCGTGTCCCGGTCCCGGGGTATCCCGGTCCCGGCGTGTCCCAATCCCGCGGGATCCCGGTCCCGGGGTAACCCGATCCCGGCGTGTCCCAATCCCGCGGGATCCCGGTCCCCGGGGGATCCCGATCCCGGCGTGTCCCAATCCCGCGGGATCCTTGTCCCGGGGGTCCCGATCCCGGGGGGTCCCGGAGCCCTCGAGCCTGGGAAACCTGGACTACGGAACCGTTTCCTTAGGAAAGGAGCTGCTTCGGTGGTTGATCTTTGTCACCTTGAAGCCTCGGGAAGGCTGGAGCAGGTGACATAGAATGGTGTCCTGGTGGGTCTGGGGTGTCCCCAGACAGGGAACTCCACACCCTCCCCGAGCAGTTGTTCCAGGCTCTGTCACCTCCATGGAAAGAAGTCCTGCCTCATGGCGAGGGGGAACTTGTGTTTGAGTTTATGGCTATTGCTCCCCATCCTGTCACTGGGCATCACCAAAACAAGTGTGGGATCATCCTCTGGCAGCCCTTGGGGATATTGGTGTGGATCGATGGGATGCACTCTCAGCCTTCTCTTCTCCAGACTAACCAGGCCCAGCTCCCACTGTCTCTGCTCACCGGGGAGATGCTCCAGACCCCTCATCATCAGATGGCCAAATGCTGACCTTAACTGTGCCCTTTTTTAGGGGTCAGAGCTGGTCCAGGCCAGCACTTCCCCAGGAAACTGCACACACCAGCCCCTCTGCTGTCCACAGAAATGGGATTCCTTACTTGCTGTGCAACAAGCCAGCAGTTACACCCTCGAGAGAGACACTGAGTGTTTATTTCAGCACTGAGCAAGCCCTGGGTGCTCGGTGTGTTCCACAAATACACCACAGTGACTATTTTTACTATTGTGTTACTATTTACACATTTTAGCAAGCAAAGGCTTTAATGTTTGCTGGCTACAAGTTACATAGTTCTCTTGTTAATTAGTACTGTATTAGCCAATGGTTCTCTCGCTTCCTGCACTCAGTCCTTCTCTTTTTGGGTCGGGCAGGAGGGTTTGGTGTTGTGGGTCGCGATCTGCCCCTGCTGGAGTCACCTTGTACCCGGTGAGAGATGATTCAGCCCAGTTGCTGAGCTGTCTTTATTGGTTTCCTCCTCATCTTTGGGGTTTTGCCAGATGTCCTTGTGGCCCATAAACTCTCCATTCCCTGTGCCCACTACCAGTGGAAATCCTTCCTCCCGAGATGTGATACCCTCCCCAGGGCTGAGATCACCGAGATGTGTCCAGCCCTGAACCCCTAACAAGGCAATTCCACCGATCAGGCATCTGTGTTTCCAACACCTGGACATCACTCAGAGCTCGTAGGCTGCTCTCTGATCCATGGATTAAATCTCCTTTCTGGAGGCTTGAAATTTACAGAGATCAAACTTTAGAAACCTTCGTCTCTAAAGGGAATTTTTACACATCCCACATCTTGCAGCGCTTAGAGCACCAGGAATGCTGCCCGAGGTGGACACTGCAGGTGCCTGGAGAGGGGCAAGGGGGGCAGGCAGAGCCTGCTCTGCTGGTGGCTCCCACCACCACCCCACAACACACCTAGGCTTCACAGCCCTCCAGATAACAACAAAAAAGGAGATTTCTCCCAGCTAAGCTGCCCGTGGCCTGAGGCAGAGGCAATTACAGAGCAGCTGCTCTCATTGTGCTGGTGATTACAGGGCTAATTGAGCACTCCTGGCTCGGGGCCCTCCCTGACTTGGCCCCGGGTGGCCAAGGAGGAGGGTTCCCAAACCTCCCACACCCGGCACAGTCACAGGACGTTCAATCCCCGTCCCTGCTGCAAACAAAGGGAACCTGTCCTGCTCTTAGAAGGTGTGGGGCTGCCCTCCTGAGAACTTTCCAGTGAGTCCCGGGGGAAAACAAGCACAGCTGCCTGAATCCCCTGCTGACACAAACCCCTGCCTCTGCCAGGTCCAGGAAACCTCATTAGTCATTCATTTCATTCTGCAGAGCGGCTCTCTCCGGCCTTGGCAGGCACGAACAGATTGGCAGGTCCTGATTCCATCCTGGCAGAGAAACAAGAAGTTTCTTCTTACATTCCACAGCCACTGGTCCTCCAGCGATCCAGCAGCAGCAGCAAGGCTGTTTCCCCAGGCATTGCTCGGGAGGAGATGAAGGAACGTGGGCATGTCTGGGCAAAGCTGAGCCAAACACGACCCAGTGATAAGAAGAGATGGGAGCAGGGGGGAGACAACGGGTTAGGGAGCAGCAGAGGTGAGGGCTCTGCCATGACACAGGCTGGGAAGTTGTTGCCACAACAATTGGAGCCACCCCGTTATCCTTGTCCCTGTTTGAGACGAGGGGATGAGAAACATTGCCTGTGGGAGATGTTCCCGTTGGAGAGGTGGAGACTTCAAGAGTGGAGTAATTGCTGAGGGACAGAAGGCTTTGGCTTAGAGTTTTGACAATGTCCTGAGCTGTCCTTGAAATGTTTGTATCAGTTTTCCAGAATCCCCTCAAACCTCCAAAGTGCAAAGCTTGGACAGTTCATGGCAGGTCTTTAGTTCCATTCAGTGCCATAGTTCCAGGAGCATTTTTCTTTCCATTCCCTGGAGCTTTAGTCAGATCATGAGCCACTGGCCAGGCACTTCTTCGAGGTGTCTGAGCAGAACTGGGCATGACATTGTGTGGGAAACACCTGTGTGTGGCAGGTAACAGCATGGAAAGCTGGCAAAACGTGCAGAGGTTTGCTCAAGGGACACCTGGATCTGCCAAGTGGTTATGGAACAGTGGTGTGAGGAGGGGCCAAACTCCATGGGTAGCTGGAGAGAAGCAGTGGGACCTCCTGGGGCAAGGCCAGGAGTTCCTTTTTGTCAGTTGTAGCATATAATGCCCAGATAATACCAACGTAAAAGTGTCAGAAACACCAAAACAAAGCAATCAGAAAAAAGCAGTTCTAAGTCTATTGCTCCTTCGGGAGGGATGGACAAAGGAAGTACAAAGACTGGGAGAAAGGTTGAGGGATGGGAAAAGGGAATGCCATGGTGCATGAGTGCTGTGGCCAGTGCTGGGGGTGGAAGCAGCCAAACAGCCCCGTGTGAGATCACCACTGCTGGAACATTAACCCACAGCTATTTTGGGCACGGGGTCACATCACCCCTGCTGTGTTCCCTGGCAGGCCTCAGGACACCCAGGTGAATGGGCTGAATTCCCCAGCATGGTGGTGTGACGGCATCTTCTGGGTGTAATGCCTTTGGCAGCTCCCTATTACCCATCATTGCTCAAAAACAGTTTCAGCTTTCTCTGCCCGAGAAAAGATTGACGAGGTGACAGAGAATAAGGACTTGCTTTGGTGTCCATACCAACCTCCATTACACTGTACATACCAGCCAGTTCAGGTCCAAGGTGCATTTCAGGGACCAAGGGCAGGCACGGCCTGGCTGCCTCCTCACCCCAGGGGCAAAACCACCTGGAAACTTCGGTTCTGAGTGCAAACCAGCTCCACTGTCCATGGGACGGAGCCTGCAGGTGCCAGAGGCAAGGCTGTGTGCGAGGTGGGAGTGCAGAGGAGAGGGGCTGGTGGGCAGGGCTGCCCGGGCACCTGAGCCGGGACGCGCTGGTGGAAACTTGGACTTGTGTCCCCACAGGTTCTCCCACTCCACGAAGGTCTGGCACTGGGGTAAGACACAGCTGGTGCAGAGGGCAGGCAGGAAATAGCACTCAGAAATTATAACTGCCCTAATCACCCTTTCTGAGACCTCAGGCAGGTTCCTAAGGGAAAGGAACTCACCACAGTGCATTGATCCTCCTCAGTAAAAACGTTCTGTGGAGTGGCGCTTCACACACAGCCCTGTGGCATTTCTCAAGGACTGCTCCTACATGGTGGAGATGGCTCATCCACCAGCTGGACAGACAGAATGCCTCCCCCATGGGAAAGGCAGCACCAGCCTGGCCTGGCCCCCTCTGCATGCACTGGTGAGGTCTGGAGGAGCGCCAGGAACCTCCACTCCTGGAAGTGGATCAGGATGTTTCTCACGGGTGCACAGCCAAGGCATTCCAGAGGCCCTGGGAAAGCTCCACAGAAACACTGGGGAGAGGCCAGGTGGGTATTGCTGGAGCCCTGGTGGCACCTGCCACGCTGGTGTTTTCAGCCCTTTGCAGGGATCAGCACTGATCCACCACTGATGGCTTTGTGCACACAGAGGCTTTCCCAGAGCCTGACCCAGGAGCTCCAGCCTGTCCTCCTGCAGTGCCCCAGACCCCACTGGACGGGCTGTGCTGAGGTCTGGGCCCCTCACATGGGAGCAGGAGGGTGTTCCTGGCCGGCTGGTGCCTCCTGGCTCCCCGGCAGTGCCAGGGCACAGGGCACAGCACAGGCCCTGGGTCATTCCCTGCTGGGCTCTGGTGCCCAGGGCTGTGGCTGCCCAGCTCCCCCAAACCCCTGCGTGGTGCAGAGCAGGGGGAGCTGAGCCCAGCACTGACACAGCTGCTGGGGCAGGTATGGGTGTCTAACCCAGAGTGCCCGAGCGAGCCCAGCCTAGGCTGGTTCCTGAGGTGCAGGGCAGGTATCCCTCGTGTGGGATGCCCCCACAGACACTTCCCAACAGGAGCTCCCTGGCAGCACTGCCTGTGGGGCCTGGCCTGCTGTTCCAGCCCACGGGTTCACAGCGTTGGCCCCACTGGACACAGGGGAAGCTTCCAGCAACTCCTCTGGGACCAAAACCTGGCCATGCAACCCAGTACAAGCACCCAGGTACACATTTGTGTGTGTCTTGACACGCACAGCAGCACAGACACCCTGAGCATTCCCTCAGAACCAGCACAAACAGCTTCTGCTCCCATTTCTGGCCTGGAACCACCATAGAAATGCACAGAGCTGGAAGTGGGGCTGGA